AGACGTACAGAGAGAAGAACAGTTTAAATGGTAAATCGCTGTGACTGAAAACTAGTGGCTCTGCTTGAATAGTGAATACCTTTCATAACAAAACTCTGGGACTGCGAAAATAGAATAGAGTACCACTCAGTTATAAATAAATAAATTCTAACATTTATTACACGCTTTGACATTAAAATATACCCAATAAAGTTGTAAATTTAAGTCATTCAAGCGAGACTTGGAAATATCAAGATTATGCACTTCTTTATCAGTTCAGACATTATGGACAAATATTGGTATAAAATTACCAAAATTATGCACTTTCATATCAGCTCAGACATTATAGACAAATATTAGGAATATTATCAAAAGCTAGGCGGAAATAAAATGTCTTTAGGGCATTTTGAAACATTCTACCGATGATAATCTCACTGAGTAAGGTAGTTCATTCCAAATTATTGGTCGACAAAACATAAATACAGCATCTGTTCGTCTGAAATGAGGAGCAGGAGGAACTTCGAAAGGAAATTATTCGGGTGGGGAAAGTTTAAGGAAATCATTATTCAAAAATAGTTGAAGCATTCTTTACGCAAACAGACTGAATCGTGAAATTTACGATGTTTTCGCAGTTATCATTTTATGATTTTAAATATTTGTGCGATCTTCAAAAAATAGCAATATAGTTACGAAAAATTTAGTCTACCATAAATTGAGTCAAAATTTCGACTAAAATTGTTGTAAACCAGATTTATTGAGACTAAATTTTTCGGCGACTAATTTAAAAGCAGACCAATATTCAAGTAGAGCATCTATGACATGAATATTATTGAGCTTACGTTGTTTATAATTAATATAATGACATCACCGTTCCTACTGGTTTATTTTTGAAAAATTCTTTATTGCAACAAATCATTTAATCAACATGCCTGACGTTTTAAACTTTAGAGTATGACTTTGTGTGCGAAATCGGAAAAAAAATACATAGCTAAATAATGGAAAAAATCAAATAAATGGACTGGAAAATGGTCTCGAACAGTTGAAAAGATGTGACTAAAATTGTTTTGGACTAAAAATTTGCGAAATTTGTGTCTAAAATTATGGTAACCAACATTTTTGTAACCAAATTTATTGGCCATAAGGTATTATTATATAATATAGAATTTGAATTTTTCCTCTGACTGAAGTTAATGGTGGTAGTCTGAACTAAACAATTATTGGATGAATACAAGTCATGTGATTTTCCTTCTAAACACCGCCTTAAATACTCAATACTCATGTCCTACGAGTTCACTATTGTTTTCCCACGTGTAGATGATGTTATCTTTAGTGTTTGATGTTTGTTTTCAGTGCTGTGCTCAAAGATACTTTTAAGCTACTGCGAAAACTCTTTCTAACAAACTAGGAACTCAAAATCACAAATATCTTCCTGGATCTATAAATGAAATACAAGATATATAGGCATCTCAAATATGATTTGATGATGTCTTACAATTTGATGATGTCTTACAAAGATGATCCCAGTCAAACTACCTCAAAGATGATAAAGTAAGATAGGTCCCCCATCGCTGTTTGGAGCTTTATTAGCAGAGGTTAACTATCTGGAAGTGGAACCATCGCTCCGACAAATCACAGTTTAATTAATATCAGAGGAATAATACCCCGTCAGACGTGGTTTACGTGATCCCCTGTCCCCAGTATCTGTAACCTCCCAAAAAGACCTGTCAAGCGCCTCATTGTCATATACCCATTGGGGCCTTATAGTTATATTCACGTACTGTGTGGTATTGTGATGCAAGAGCTAATAGTAATCCTCGTAAATATTTAGTTAGCAGGTAACTGATTTATTTTACAATTATGGTAGTGGCACAACGTGCAACTTATATTATTTTACTGGCATGGATGGTTTACAACTATTTTTACATTTCGTCCAGGCCTCATCAAATTATATTATCAGATAATTTATCTCAGATAATTTGTCTCTTGATAATATGTACATTAACTTAGTCCTGGTATTACCAGTGGTAATGGAAGAAAGAACTGTTCTTTTGGTGGAGGTGATTTGGGAGTAGGCCACCAAAGAAGACATGTGTTTGCGCTATATAAATCTGTTCATTTTTGTTACTCATTTTGTTACTTCATTTTGTTCATTAGTTACTTTGCACCTATCTGGATCTCTCTAGACTCCATAACCAATGTTAACTTCCAGTTCCACGTATTGATTAGTAATGTCAATTCACAGCTACTAGATGTATTTTGTGGTTGTTAAACTTAAAAGTTAACTTAAAGTGTGGTCGGTCCTACTTTCTTGGTGACGTCACTTAAACGAGTTGATTGTAGACTAATCAAGACTTGCAACTCTCCTACAATTATCTATTTTATTCACTTAGACCGCAAGACAATTGTGAGATTGTTCTGTTTACAAATGTGCGATTAAAGGCGCACAAAATGTTTGATCTGATAGTTTGCCAGTCAATTCAAAAAACGTTAACTCAAAGACTTCACATAAATTATCAAACTAACATTTCATATGAAGGCTTCAGCAACCCACGATTAAATTGTGGTGATCGGTTACATGAAAACTTTGGAACACATGGTCGGTCGTAAATGGTCGTTTTTCGGCGTAGGGTGAAAACCAAAGCAATATGTATGTGATTTTAAGACGAATGAAAGAACGATAGAAAATACCATATTCGGTCAATACAAGCAATAGTTCATCTTTCATCTCATTATTAGGTTTAGGTTTAGTATGCAAGTTATTATATTATCGAGAGAGGTTTATTTAGAAGCATTCAATTCTGTATAATTATGTATTGTTTGAAAAGATTTAGATAAATATAAGTTTAACATTGCGAGGCACAAATCTTCCCTGAGGCAGTCGGCATCTCAAATGTGATTTAATTTTAAGACGCCCTTACAATTTGACGATGTCTTACAAAGATGATCCCAGTCAAACTACCTCAAAGATGATAAAGTAAGATAGGTCCACCATCGCTGTTTGGAGCTTTATTAGCAGAGGTTAACTATTTGGAAGTGGAACCATCGCTCCGACAAATCACAGTTTAATTAATATCAGAGGAATAATACCCCGTCGTCATGTATTTGGCCGAAGCCTTTAAGGACAAGAACAGAGTTATAACTTATAGAAATTATATACCTTACAAGACTTTTTTGTGGCGGACCAATTTGCGACGACCGAAATTTTGACGGTCCGAAAATATGGCGAAATTGAACAAAAACCGTCACATTTCGGACGTCACAGAAAATAAGGGTATTTTTCATCATTTTTTGTGACAGTAAGCAGTAAGGAAATTTCTGAAAATCGGTAAAATCATGTTCAAACTTAGTCTGTATTAAGACTGTAAGACTTTCATGTTAGCACATACATGTATTTTAATGCAAATTTAAACTGTATTGCTTGACATTCAATTCGTCATTGGTGTGGTGATAATTTGTCCCAAGATGCCAGAATTATTTATTTATTTTACTTGATATTACTTTTTAGAAACAAAATAAAGCAGTGAAGGCACAGTCATTGAAATAAGCTAAAAGATAATGCGACGGATTCTATTACGACGACCGAAATTTTGGCGGTCCGAAAATATGGCGAAATTTTGGCGGTCCGAAAATATGGCGAAATTTTCGGAAAATATGGCGAAATTTTCGGAAAACCGCCACATTTCGTACGTTATAAATACTAGCAGGAACCCGTCTACCCTAAAGTGGTGTCAAGACTCGAGAGACTAAAATAATTATTACCTATTTAATTTGCGTTTTTGACACCACTTGGGAGTCCAAATTTTGGGCACTAAAATTCTTATTCCTTGGCCAATTTTTTACTTTTTCATGCTGATTTGAAGGCCATTAAAGCATTTGACCCAGTCAAAAAAGTTTCAGTTGTATATCTTTTACGGTTTTTGCGGAAAGTCGCGTTAAAGTTGATGCCATGGTGTCAGTAAAATGGCACGGAACCATATATATCGTCTCGCTTTATATATAGTAAGATGTCTTGTAAGGTATATATGGGTGATAATCAGATAACCCATAATATTGACTAGACGATAAAGATCTACATTGTTCATCGGTCTCCGTTTCAACTTGACCACATGCTTAGTAAGCAATGTAAAATAGGGCGTGACGGAGCTTAACGTCGTAAATATTTAGTTACTATGTAACACAATAACCTTATGAGCCCCAATTTGGTCGACCCTAATGTGGCCAAATACGTCTCCAGTGGTCATACTTAGGGCCGGACTGCACTGCCTTCTTGGTCAACAAAATTAGAACTTTTCGTAAACATTTGACTTATGGTGATCAAAATTATGAACGATTTATTCCAAAAACTGTTGCCCTAGAAAAACGTGATTTGAGATTTGGTTACGAAAAAGACGACTTACCTAGCTCCAAACCTATGGATACTGTATAAATTTCGGACTTATTTGCTTGCTATTTATATACCGCTATTTCCCATAGAAATTGATTTGGTCCCATTCATTTCTCGACATTCTGCAGTAATATCCTCAATATCAGGTATCGCCCGAACTTTCTCGAAATTGATTATTCGACTAGGCATACGCTGTAACGATACATCTTTACAGTTGTTCATGTTGCCAATCCATTAATATAGACTTGTAATTTATATCATTCCAGATACAACAGTCCAATCCCAGGACAATCATTAGATCTAGAATTGTTCTGTTAGCGTCTGCGTGGACGGCTAGCGACTATAGAGCGCCAGTGGAACTAGAAACAGAGGAAGTTACTGCATCGTTTAGCTTTGTGTGGTAATATGCATTAATTATGACTTCAACTGTTGGAAATTATATATTTACTGAGCAACAGTCGGGTGCTTGTCTGATCGGTTGGCGAGATTGTCAGTAAAAAGCGACAAGGCTCTTGATGTCGCTTTGTAATTGTCGTTTATATGTTATAGACCTTTAAACCATTAACTATACCACTCAGGGAGGATGGAATTTAAATATCAGGTTGAAAAATTGCAAGGTAAATGTAAAACTACATACCTGGTCACCTCCCAGGGTTGTGTCGTTAGGGATAAACTCCCCAGGGGAGAAAGAGGGCATCAGAGTGGGGTGACTACCGTCTTCTATCTTAAGAAATGGTTCTTCCGAGACAACTATCTCCGGTCTTATCGTCTCGTGAGAGGAGCTGTACAGTGCCAGCGACAGTAACACGTCTGAGGGGTTGTAGAATGTAGATTGTAGAGGATCATAAGATGGCGGAGTGTCGGCGGTTTGGAGCTTAGGCTCTGACGCCGCATATTAATTATAAGCGATGATGGTAAACCAGTTAAGCTGTGTCTCATGAGTATGTTAATGCTTTTCATACAAAGTTACAACAAAGTCTTCATGTTATGTATCCTGGGTTTGGACAGGTATTTCCATCGCGTTACATAATAATGATATCTTACCAAGCAGTGCGCTACACTTCACAGCTCTGCTCCACATGTCATAGTGTTTGGAGAACTTGTGGAAGAGCACCCTCATTGTATCCCTTAGGGCCTCTTCTTTCCTGCGATCATCGAGTAATCAACCGGGCCAGTTCATGAAAATCTAAGTTTTAATTGATATAATCGCTAAAACGCATATTAACCGAATAAACTTCTTGATTTTGTTGCCATTTAATGCTATAATAGACGGCTAAATCGCACATAACAGTTACCTGATCTCAGCTTTTTCCAGGTCCACTTTAAGCTGCTTTGCTTCGGGAAAGTAGTATCTGACGAATCCCTTCCTCTGAGACTGTACTTCCCAAGATGATGGCACCCTCTTACTGGCTGAGTCTGGGACTTCTGTCTGGAACCTGAAAATGCGTTTATTAAATACAATTTATCGTTTTCGTGTCCTAAATCCTAAAATGTCGTCTGATTCCTAATAGCATATTTCTCATTCATCTTCAAAAGTAAACAGAATTCTCCTTTGATTTTATAGCTCTGCAGACTAACCATAATCTGGTTAGTATAAAGGAATTCTAAATTTATCCTGATAAATCTTGCTGCATGCTTATAAACAATTAATTTTCGTTGTCTGGTAAGAAATATGTCTGATAAATTATAAAACTGCGCCACGGGCAACCGAAACTACGTAAGAATGAGACACCAAGAATGAGACACTGGCTCAGCCCCACCCTAAAGTTTTAATTACTTAACTTAATAACTAAGATAACTATAAAACTATAAAGTCGGCATGTTCCATAATCAATTGTGAGTTATGTCGAATACCGATCTGTCTGAGCAGTTTAGTGCTGGCACACATTTAGCTGCATTGTCTCATTGTGCAGTGGACTCCACTTCCAGTGGAGGCTGGAGCCAGTGGAGGCTGGAGCTTGATTTGTAAAAAGGGAAGATCGGGGAAATTAAAATTCGAAGTGTTCAAATACTGACCAGTTACACAATTTTAAGTTTTCTAAATCTTTCTTTATGCCATGACCGAAGCTGTCATTTATTTAGTATCCATTAGTATCACTGTTACTTACCACCCATATAACTATTAACCACGACAACAGAAACTAAATCTAATTATTTTAGGTTAATTGTGTTGAAAAATTTCTCAAAAAACGTAAAACATCATAAACTTAAAAATAGTGTCCAAAATAAACAGTCCCGATAAGATACCACAATTTTCATCAGATTAACTGTTACCTGTTTTTAGCTGTCCCGAAGAAGCTTAGGTTACACTGGAGTTGAGATTTGTACTTTCGTAGACAAGTCTCAAATTCTTGCTCAATGGCCTCAATCTCAGATGCAACCTGATCAAAATCCTCGTTGACCCCCTCCTTGGGAATTATAATACCCTTCTTTAAAGCTTCTTCTTTGTCGAAACAGTTCTGAAAACAGAATATCATTAATTGAGAATCCATAATAACACTGCCCCGCTCTCTGTAAACTTAGTTGAGGTGTGGTGGTAATTACACTTAACGTTTACACGTCATGATGGTTTTATAATACAACGAGGCAGCCTACAATTACAACGTATTATATCCTTATTATACTGATAAATGATATATTATTTAGACTTTAGAGCATTATCTCAAGACAAAGCATGACTCATCGTGTCGTCATGGAATTATAGGCATGGTAATCAAGTAACCTGGTAAAACTTCAATAAGTCAGTAAGATCTGGGAATCCCTTTTCAGCGTCGATTTCAGCTATTTCTTTGAGCAAGTCTGAAGTAAACTGGACGTCTTCGAACAGTTTCATCATACTCATCAGCTTTGCAAAACCTGGGAAAATCGGGTAAGTAAGGTAGATCCTCCCTCAATACTTAGATTGAGCTGTAGAAAGTGGTTGAAATAAACGAAGCCAGCTCAAATACTCAGTCTTGACAGATAAGCCCAATTATTAAATTAAATTTGATTATTGAATTAATGTTGCGCAATTTGATTAGTCAAATTAAAATTGCTGATCCTTTCTGAGACTGGGCGGGGGCTGTTCAAAGAACAGTTATTTCAACGTGATCTCAAGAAACAAGAACTTGGATGATCATGATGTACATGAAACTTACCGTCAAGCGAGTTGACAAGATCGACCACTTTCTTCTTGCTATAAATCTCAGCATCAAAGAATACGGCTCTAGAATCGGGATGTTCCCTCGGCATCTTTACACCCTGCGCGTGTATCTTGCGAAGAAGTCGCTCCAAGTCGGGAACTTTCTTCAGAGCACCCTGGACTTGCTTCACTTTGCCGGGATGCGCTAGCAGATTGTCTATGGCATCTAACCTGTGGAGATTTGTGGGTAGAGCAATAGTAGCGAGGAATTAATACAGTATTTCTAGTTATAATATTTGAAGTTAATAAATCAAATATAAATTACAGCTCTACTCCAGTCTTCCTCAGCCACTAAATTCTGAACTATTAACTTTAAGCTATTTAATTTTCCTGTTAAGCAATTTAATTTTATGTTTCAAATCTCCAGTATCATTATTCCGGCAACATACAGGGTGGGCCAAAATTCAGTACCCATACGTTGGCCTTAATAGCTCCGCCGTGTTTTATATTTGAGAGCTGTTGCTTTGCAGATGGCATACTGTACTTACTGGTTCGAGGATTCCGTCGTCAAAATTTGAAAATTCGAATATTTTAGACCACGCCCATTCAATATTAAAACACTTATATTGTTTTCTCTGAACATGCTGAACGCCTAATTTTTTTCAGAGACGGTAGATTATCAAATGTTGCATATGATCTGAAAACATGAGGCAAAACGGATTAGAAATGACGAAGTTATCAAGCATTTTCTGTATCTCGTTAACAAAATTGACTGGGTGATTATGTGACACCGTGACACGACACCTTAATTGGGCACCCTTAACAATTCCCATAATGTATAACGGGGTAGTTAACGGGGGCACCTTATCACGTGATTAGGTAAACCAATCACCTGATCACACGTAATGAATAAACTCGTTATGCTTCATATCTCGGTCATCTGAGAAGCTACAGTTCTAATTCTTTCAGGACAAACGTAATTCGAATGGCCAAACACAATTCAATAACATTTAGCTTGATCCGACTATCCAAACTATCAAATAAATGTGATAATGAACCTCCATTTGAAAAAAATGAACGCGAATATTTTTCGAGTTGACAAATTCCTCGAACCAGTGGTGGTACTAAGTCATACCAGAAAGAAGTATTTAAATTGGGCACTCAGTGACTGAGCTATAAAGGCCAACGTATGGGTACTGACTTTTGGCCCACCCTGTACTTAATAGTAAATTCTTCATTGACCATCGCATATAATTCAGTATTATTAGTTTCATTGTACGTATTTCATAACCACACACAGTGAAATTTGTAGTTGAATCCGCGAAAATTATGTCGCATTTTGAACAAAGACTAGATAGAGTTGACAGTACTAGCAGCTAGCTGAGTATAGGGTGTTCAAATTTGAAATTATAATCTCTTATTTTATGAAGTAAGTAAGTCTTACCTGCGATTTATTTGGGCAGGATTACAGAGCGGAGCACAAACCCACTGTCTCAACAACCTTTTCCCTGCTGCAGTGACACACCTGTCCAGTATACTTAGCAGCGAGCCTTCCTGCTTACCCTCACTCGTGCACAAGATCTGAAAATAGTTAGATTATAGTTATACGGACAATTTAAACTTTTTTTAAATGATACAACGGATATTTTTAGACGTTTTTCATTCAAAAATCATTAGAGCACAATGGACGATCGTATAGTTTTAAAACGGGCGACACCAGCAGCTGCCGCAAAAGTTTAAAAACGAATCGGTACAAATACAATTCACATTTCACAAAAGAGGACATGTTTGTTTTGCGTCATATTTTATTCAAACAAACTTTTTAATACTTTCAGCAAATAATTTGCACTCAGGATGCATAAAAGTTAACACTATAAATATTGCGTGTTTATTGTCTAGCCACGCCTACAAATAATAATGGAAAAGCTTCAGAGTTTACCTCTAAGTTAGCGATGGAAATGTTGTCTAAAACCAGCTTTTGATTCTCAGACGGGAACTTGTTGCCACCACTTCGCACATGAAACTGCTCAGGAGCAAACAACTGGAACTGCTTGAGAGCCAACAAGGGTCGCTCTATCAGGCACTTCTGCAGGTAACAGATACAGCCTCCCAGGGACGACACAGCCAGGGAGTACTCTTCTTTGGGTTCCGCGTTAAAGCTTCTTTCTTCACCCACTGTATGTATAGTGGAGTGAAGTTTGTGAACTTAAATATTAAATAAATTTAGCGTTTCCGAGTGGAAATATAACGAATACATTTCACCAGAATATATGATGGTGAGCTCGAACCTGTGATCTCGGAGAAGAGTTGCGGCCACACAGCATCATCCTGCCCCTCCTCCACAAAGTATTTTCCCGAGGCTAGCTGATTCAGTGTCTTGTTAGCACCCCAGAACTCCTTTTCTTTAGTTAGTGGTTCCTGAAGAGCTTGTCCCAGCTCCATCTTCAGAACGTTCTGCAGCTTGTCTGATATCTCTCTTCGTGGATAGAGAACCTGAGGAAGATAATTCAGAAACTTTAAGGAAATTTCATTTTCTCATTTATAATTGAACTGTGCATCGAAGAAAGATGGCCGATTTTTGAATAACCACGTAAAGTTATCTGAATTAGATTGAAATTAAGTTTTGTCACAGTGTATTTCCAGTTTACACTGACCTTAAATTACGATGATAATTACAATTCTAATTTAACAGCCAGGAAGAACACATAGGCACATAATCTACCTGTACATTATCTACATTATTAACTGCGAACGTTATTTTCTCTTTTAACAAAGCAGTGAATGTACTAGTGATAAGAGCTTAATGTGTTAATCTAATGTAAGATGATACCCACACCATCGAGATTAGGATTAGTGAGATTTCTGATTAGTTTCTATAATTATTGTCGAATTGAGCACTATTATTATATTTATTGATTGTTTCCCGTCATTTATTAGATAAGGACGAGTTTTGCTATTTTCCTGTTGAGACATCGCTGTGTCCTTCCAGACTAATCGATGCATATCAACATATTTGCTGTTAACATGCTCATATTATGTAATGCTAATACAATTTAGTGATACAGAAATATGCACTTATCAGATCCATGGAAAAGTTAAAGGCAGCTATCTAACAAAACTGTTTCAGGACGTCATGACTATTACTCCATCCTTCATCCTAATATTTCTATTCCACCAAATCTCTGCTGATTATGACTGCTACGACACCAAATGTTGGGGTAGCGGCATGGGTCAGAACTTCTCCATACCTTGTGATAACTCCTACTCCTACTGTACCCTCAACCGATCCGGACTCCCTCTCTGCTGGATAGACGACAGTTTCCACCAGTGGCGGGGACATGGCGTCCACTGTTACGGTCACTACAACTGTGGGACTGACATCAGAGGGGCTGCCATCTGCCAGGATCACGATTACACTGCTGTTGCTGTGTTTATCATCATTGCGTGTGTGATCATGTTCCTGATGGTACTGATGTTCTGTTGTTACGCTAAACACCTAAGAAGAGGACCAGGTACTGGAGGTTGCTGCTGTTGCTGTGAGAGAGAGGAGGAAGGGACAGAAGTGCAGTTTACTGAGTACACTGAGTTGTTGGTTAGGAGCACTGATAATCCTGATAACTGGCGCCCAGCTGTCAGTCACCGGCCTTACTCTCAGGGTCCTTACTCTCAGGAGAGGGAGCCTAGCAGACAGGTCGCCTATCCTTACTACACTATCATCTAAAATATGTGAATGAACTCAGTCGGAGCTTATGTGCAAGAATTTGTGATATTCACGAGCTGCAATATTGGATCAGCAAGCAATCATTAGTGCTTCGCGTATCTTCTGCAGATACACGCCTTATATTACTCTTCAACATTTTTATAACATTGTCGAAATATAAATTTTAAATTCTGTTAACGGTAAAAGCTGATTTTTCGATCTCCATGAAACTGACCTGAACGATGTTGTAGTGAGATATGAGTGTCCGTAGTCTGGAACTGTGTCTGTCGTCAGTGAACTGTGACAGAGTGAAGACCCCGACAGAAGTATCTATCAGGCACACACCATACTCCCCCTCCCCCTCACACACCCCCATCAAGTAACAGTTCTGCACCTCCGGAGACTGACCTGCACAAGTTAGATCGGATTAATTTTAATTTGTTGGAGTTTCTTGTTTGAGATCGAAGTCGTTTGGGATGGTTTGACGCGTTCATGACCACAGCCTATTGATTTGAGATATTTTGAGATGTACAAGGATTTTTACAATGTATGATTTTTGTCCGTGAACTAATATTAGCAGTCATTATCAGATTATCCAATAAAACCCGAAATGAATTACAAACCTTTGTCGCAGACTCACTCTTGCTCCTAACTGTTAAGTGAGACTTATGACGACACAATTTGGGTTGGCAATCGATCAATACCATCGATTTGTCACCGTAATGCATGTTACCATTATAAGCCATGGGAAAATGGATTTATTAACACGGTATCCAGTTTGAGGACCAGAGGACATTTGATCTACTAAACAGTTGCTCCAAAATAAAATTACATCAGTTTTCTGATCCAATTTCCGGACTCTAAAAGGGATTTCAGCAATTAGGTTTCAAGACGTGTTTGTTAATTCTAACGCTATTGTGACGAAGTTGGCACTATCTCATTTCTGAATCTTTCAACCCAGTAACCGTAATTCACAAACCACCGAGCCATTTTAACTTTTTATTGCTGTCCGCATTTTGTTATCTAATAATAAGTAAAACTTTAATTGCTTGAGAAATCGAAGATTTCAATCATTTGGTATGCACAATAATCATGCAAGCTCTTATTATTCGGATACACTGTAGCCGCATTTATTCCGCAACAGTAAAAATCCGATATTATTTTTTGGGCTGATACGATTGCTTTTGACAGTGTTCACTAATTGATATCTACCGCTAGCTTACATCGAACACACCCACTTCTACTCTACTTATTTCCATCCAGTGCCATTGCTTTTCAACATAATATTCAGCCAACTTTTTCACATAATATGCAGTATGATGTTTCGGAAGTTCGAATCTTTGTTTAGTCCCAGCACGCCGGAAATGAACCGGTTTACGATTGGCTTTACTTACTATAAATCTCAGCTCTGCAGTTTAGAGCCATGACCTACCATGCTAAATTAAATTTCAAGTTTTTTAATCGAGCTTCTTAAATAACATCTGATTATCAACAAAAGATATGCCGGGATATGTGGATAAATTGTTTTAAATATCCAATGAAAATGTCATATTGTAGCTTGTGTATTGTGAATGAGATGGAGTGTGAATTGACCGTCGTTTAATTTGGCAAAAGTGGCACGGTTTATCTCGTATATATTTGACACGGTGCTGCTTCGTGTAGAGCGTGATTTGAATATTATTTCGACATTATATCATGTAATTCGAGATTAGGTCTATACCACGCTGCTGGGTCAGCAAATCTCATTATCATAATATCACATAAAAAGTTCATCTGTAGCTGTCGGTGTTCGCTCGTTTTGCTTTGAGGCTGTATACGTTGGAACGTTAATGTGTGCATCTGATCAGTATTGTGAGCGTGAATAGTTTTAATCAGCACCGATACTCGCTCACATTGGCTACAAGTTTAAACGTTTAATAAAGACACTACTTTCCTGGTGTCTAGATATATTCAGTGCTGGTAACCCTCCTATTATCAGTGACACTAGTTTTTCTCTTGCACCAGGTATGAACTTGAACGATCTGATCGCGAGGCTCGTTAGCAAGACGCCGAGTGACACCACGCCGCCGCCGCCAGAAACCCCCGCCAACTCCACCAAGTTCTATCAGATGAAGTGCAGGTCCCGCAACTACTACACCCCTAAACTCTCCAGACAGCTCCCACTCAGGGAGGTTGAGGGATTCTGTAAGGTGGAAATGAGGCACACAACCTCAAAGTTCAAACGAGGCAAACCGATACAGGTTACCGATTACAACTACAAGAAGCAGAGCTACATCAACAATCTCAGTCGCTCGATACAGATGCAACCTACTCAGCTGAATTCTACGCTCAGAAATGAGATGTTATTAAAACAAAATCATGTGATCAGGCTGCCCAAGGATACGAGCAGGAGTATAACGGCTCACAGCAGCACCTGTGTCTCCCCCCTTCCTGAGGTAGAAAGTTGATGTGCTAGCACTGATGATGCAACAGCTCGCATGATCTTCGTTAAACCTGCCTGATTACTGTGTTTACTCGTGTTTCTGATTCCCCCTGCACGTGTTATAACGGATGATAGATCGATTGAAATCTCAAAGTGAATCGTGATCGTCCGGAATTAGTTTCGTTGTTGTTGGTTGAATAATTTATTGATGTACTGCTACAGTAGTTGTTAAAATGTACCACACATTTTTGTCTAAAATAAAATTGACCCCTATCCCAGAACCGAGGAGGTAGCGCAAGTTGCCTCATACGATACAGTCCGATCTTGCAATGCTATTGAGGTTCGTCATCATCAAGGACTTTCTCAGTCAAAAGATACACACGAGTTACGAGATTCATTGTCTTCTTCGCTATTCAAAATGCTGATTGAATATTGAGTGACGGTGAAAATTTCACGATATGACTTATTTTTTGATTTAAAACATTGAGAGTTATGAAATGTTTAAAATATTTTCATTTTATCCTTCAAAATTCAAATGAATTTTCTTACCGAGAACTGAAGGCCATTTCCTAGCGAGAAATGTTTCCGTTTGTTAAAAGGTTCTCACTATCTCAGTAGGAGGTCCCGTCACAGTGACAACAGCAGTGACAACCCCAGTTAGCGAAATCTCATATAAAACAACCATTGGGTCGGAACCGGTTGTTGGAACCAGTGAATTTTGAAGGGTGTCTGGTGCACGCAGAGTTTTATGTCAAATAAGAATATTGTCTTTTCAGTTATAAATAATATGATGTCAATTTTGTCAGATTGCACGCAGATTATAGAACAGTTAAACACTTCCATTTCCATATGCTCTCCACGATAATTGGATGACACATAAATAGCATATTATTGATTTCCTTTACTCTACATTCTAGCCATTTCTTTGAGAGTATACCACGAAGACTAACTAGCCGTAAAATGTCAATCAAATTATCACTCTCAGTATAGATTCGCATGCTAGGAGGTTCGTTTAATATCAAGAAATAACACGATTTTGGAGTTAATACTTAATTATCAGTATTAGTAACAATAGAATTTTAGCTTGTTCAAAAAGGCAGGACCAAAATTATCCGCCTAAGGAAAAAAAACGTTCGCTAACGTCCGTCAATGTCCGCTAATTTCCTTGTCCTTTTTGGACACTCAATAAGATAATAGGACAGTAGCGGACATGTCACCCCACCATCAATCTATGAATAAGGCTAATCATATTTATTAAATCATTGGTAGTATAAAGTATGTATGTACACCTAAAAGAGCTTGTACGGGTAATTTAAGACGTTCAGAAGTCAGGATTAGATAAAAGACCATCACTGAAATGGTTGTCATCGGAGATAATTTGGGACAAATTCTCACCGCTCGCTGCAACCCCAACATACGATGGCTTTAAAATATCAGTAAATTTAACCAACTAACCTTCCAAAACGCTGTGAGTCTTCGTTCCTTTCGTTATAACAGCACAGACCTCCCTGGTCACTGGCTTCCCTTTCATCTCGGCTGGTCGCGAGGTTTGCTCAATGCGGGCCTGTCAGAAAGACCTATTATTCCGGAATTGAACTAATTAATTAACTGCTAAGTGCTTGTAATAGGCTTCGTTTAATTGTCAAACTGAAACTGTAGCAATTCAAGAATAAAATTTAATGTACTATGACTGCCTTGTTCAATTAAGTATAATTCGCAGACAGCCTCACCACTCTGAAGCCTTTCTGGACCAATGTTTCTGAGTATCTCCCAAAAGCCTTCTCAGGAAAGCCGCAGTGAGCGAAGGCCCCCTTCATGTAGATTAAGCCTAGTTCTTTAACGGATATCTCAGCATCCATGTGGTACAACTCGTAGAACTTGCCAACTTTGAAAAACAAAATCAGATCAAAATGTTTGCTCTGAAAAGGGATACAATTTTGAAATAAAATAATAAAACTGTTCACATAAGAACTTTAATTGTTGTTTAATTGCTAAAAAGCAACTGCTATTCCCCTTAGCAAGATATCGACAAGACATTTTTCTAATTATCTACGTCAAAATACTGCTAATAAGGTCACGCACAAGAGACAAATTTCGTATCAAATATTCTCATATTAGTTTCCCAGACCTTGATCTCCCACCACTGCCTCATGCCAGGACTACATTTACTGAGGAAGTCTGGTGGCACGTGGAGAGTTCTCGGGTTATAATCCTCATGTCCAGGTGTCTTTTTAGCTCCATCCTTGTAGGAGTTAGTAGATTATACAAAGATACAATATACATCCTGACTTGTTCCTTGAAACGAGTCGAGTCTCGTGAATCGTGATGCATGTAACACTGGTAAAAGTCTCTCAAGAAAAATTACATGGCACAATGATGGGTTGATAAATATTTTACCTTAATATTGTCTGGTTTGAGCCACTTCAACGTATGGTGTAAGTACTGAGTCGGCTCCCCGACCTGGGAGATATTTTAAATTAAAATTTCTGTACTACTGATACCTAAATTGCACTTGTCATCTAACATGGAAGTTGCAATCTTGCACGTCAAAGTGGAGTTTATCACTTCCGCGGGTGGCGAACACATTTTACCATTCTAGACAACAATTTAGTTTACCCAAAAATGACCCAGTCTTATCAGAGCTTCTAAACTGTCTGAACTGAGATTCTTATTACGTTTACTGAATAAGGCCAAAACATGACCCAGAATACATCTAACCTTTGATTTAGCACTGCTGGGTGTTCTTGAAAACTTTGCCAGATTAGCGGCAGCCTTACTAGAGTTAAATGCTGGAGTAATTGGAGTTCTGGGAGTAACAGGGGTCCTGGGGGTCACAGGGGTCCGTACTGAAAGTGGAGTTTTAGAATCAGCTGATCCGTGACTGGAATGGGGCTTGCTTTTCGGAGTTTTAGGAGAGAGCTGTTCTTCCTCAACACCTGAACTTTCCTGGTCTTCTTCGTCATCTTCTGGTTTGTAATCACTCTCTGCAAATGATCATCTTAGTTAATGTAAGAGATAAACTTCAATCTGGGAACGTCAGTAAATGTGCACGTAGGAGAAGAATGATAACCGTCGGATTCAGTTCGCCTAGCTCTGGGAAAATCGAAGCGCCAGATATGATTTTAAATAAATGATAGTCGTCCTTTACAATCTTGTCATACGACTTCTATAATTAGAAGTGTTAACCTTAATTGCAGGCCGGGTGTTAGCGTTTCACAGTTTTAAGAGCACATTTAATTTCAGTATATTTTTAAACCAATTTGTGTTGTTACTAAGAAGTATTCCAAATTTAGAAAGAACTGCTCAATGTTAGAAAATATATAATTTAATGGCAATCTCTTAACAAGCCCTGTGAACTTCTGGGAGAGTAGGTTAATTGCTCCTGTGAACTTCTCATAGATAATACCAGTCTCACACGGTCTATCAACTTGAGCTTGAGATAATTGTTTGTTGAGCAGCTTGTGGGAGGGCAGAACTGGAATTGTATCATGTGATCGAGTGGTGACGGAGTGAGGATTATTAAATTAAGCTTACTTGTGATTTCTCCTCTCTACTCTGTGGCTCCAGCCTCCAAGGACAAAAGGAAATCGATTTAGAACCCCAACCTTAATTTTAAAACCGAACGGGTCAGCTATGCATTCAGAAATTAACTTTCGACTGTATCGAGCAGTAAAATATACAGTTTAAATTAATTAATAATTCATTGGTCAAGATGATCACATCAGGATAATCATGGCATGATTACAGAGGTATAAATTAAAGCAATGCAGCGCACTCAATTGACGATCAATTAATCTAACTAATAATCCCAGAATGTGTGTTTTCTGTCTGTCTGTTTGTAATTTCCGAGCAGCTTAATCAAGAAAACGGTAAGAGTTACGGGGCTGATTTTTTCGGTAAAGTGCCGACAAAACTCTGGCGAAGTTAAATGAAAAAGGTTTTTTAAATCGGTCGGTGGTAAGTGGTTTAATTGACGGTTTTGTACCACAAATGTTACATAAAATGGCTTGAGCTGAACGGCAAGAGTTACGGGGCTAGCTCTCTCTGCATAATATTATGTAGCGTATATATTACATGGCGTATATATTACATTTTTTTGGGCACTTATCAGTCTCTTAAGATGTTTCTTTACTATTTCGAGATTGTTTTAAAAGTTAGATAATAATATATTACATGGTGATGTAATATTATAAACTTATTAGGGGAGGGAGAGCTCAAACGGTCTGTTTGGACTGTAGAGAGAGTTCATACTTTCATACGACATTGTAATGCATGTCCACAAATATGATAGGCGGGTGTGGTGCATGGTGTTAAGGGTTAATTTCTATTGTTTACTTGATACCATTGGATACGACGTGAGGGCACTCCGAATAGAATTGCTCACCAAATGCGGGTTTTGACTCAACAGGTAATTACTCCTACCCTTTTTAACTGCGGCAGTGAAATCCCGGCCGAAGGCCGGGTTACACTAGTATATATATAATACAAGAAGAAGACAATAGTGAAAAAGAGGGAGTGTCACGCTACGCCCACTGTAATTGGGCGTGGCTTACGAAACTTTCAGGAAATCTAAGTTTGACCCATATCTATAATCTCTGAAATTTGGGTGCAATTTGGAGACGAATTACGTGAGTTATTAAGAGGTTGCGTGTGGGTAGTCACTTTTGGGCCACCCTGTATATATATAATAATGCGCGTGGCGGTAAAATGTGATGAAGGCGCTAGTGTTTTAACACCTAAAAGACATTCGTCGACCGCGCCATATTGTAAATCGTCTTTCTGACCCCTTCTCAGTACTCATGTAACGCTGAATTTATTATATATATCAATTTATTATATATATCAAGTATGCAGAATACCCTCCAAATTATCATGTTAACTATTTTTAGAGTTGAGACACAGTTAATAAACTGCGGAGTGACTAAAATGCTATACAGCAAAAACAGAACGCTCCAACCAAACACTCCACCCACTGATCCTAACCACCCTAACAACTCTCTAGCTCTCTCTCTCTTCAACCCTCATTCCCTCACTCCTCTTGGTGCACAAAACCATTCTAACCTATGTATGTCCCCCCTACGGGTTCCACAAGCCCAACGGTACATAGTTAGACGAAAAACAGAGAAGCCTTGATTGCCAGATCAAGGACTGCATCAGTAGCAGCGAAATACGGAGCTGACAACTATCTGACTGTGTCTTTTAGGCCTTGCCACACCACCTTCGCTATTGCATCCGCTCGCCCGTATTCACTGACACATGCCACACCTGGGTTTAGTATGAAGATGTACGCATATTCACGGGGGGAATGCAACGTCAATTAATGTCAATTAATGTCAATTAATGTCAATTAATGTCAATTAATGTCAATTAATGTCAATGTCAGTTTTGCAAAATTTTGGAATACTGACATTAATTGACACGATATTTTTCGACCAGAGATTATGTAGTTCTACCATATTTTTAGCACTTTAGAACGTTTATATCATCAATTTATTCACTACTATCACATATGGAAATGTGAAATGTGAAAAAATTCAGATCATTAAACAATAAAACTAAAATAATACGGTTTTCCGAAATTAAATTTTCTTAAATGGGCGTGGCCATCCAAGGGCGTGGTTCTCAACATCATCAGAACTTAAAACCCACATTAAACGAAATGCCTTCATGACATTTATATTTGAATAACGAATCTTAAACAGTTAACATTACTCCTTCATACTAAAAAAGCAGATTCTAGATATTTTACCTGTATAAGAAACCAATAAAATATGGGCGTGGCCGGTGGGGACCGAAGATGGAAGAGTTGGAAGCTGAAATTTTTTTTGGTGGTCTTTGAAGCTAAGGATCAACAGATAAGAACATACTCATAATTATTCAAGGACATTTTGTTTTTTTGAACCGGTCTAACTTACATAGACGTGAATATCTTGTAAACCCTGTAGCGAAGACGAGACTCATTATGTCAATAAAATATCTGAGAGTCTAAAGGAGAGATTTAATGTACAAGTTGAAGATAAAAACTTGCGACTAGCACGCATCTTCTGGAACCCTAAGCTTCATAAGAACCCTTACAAGGCGAGGTTCATTGCAGGTGCCCGTTTTTGCGTTACGAAACAACTTAACGTCCAAGTTAACTGCTGTCTGAAACTTTTGAGGAAATACTTCAAGAAATACTGCGAGGCAATCTACAACAACAGCGGTATAAACATGTTTTGGAGCATAGATTCCTCAAGTGAATTCCTTGAAGCTATCAAAAATAGCGATGTTTATAATATACAAGTATATGATTTTACTACTCTTTATACCAGATTAGACTTGATTGAAGTAGAGAATATGATTAATGAAGTTGTTGATTTAATATTTTCAGACCGTAATAGATATATTTGTATTTCTAAAAGAGACAGTAATACATGTTTCTTTTCCAATAAAACCTATGATTCTCATGCCTGCTTTAGTCAAGATGACCTAAAAGAGGCTGTTAAATTTATTATTTATAACACTTATGTCGTCTTCGGTGGGATTGTATTCATACAAACCAAGGGTATTCCTATGGGTGGAAATTCAAGTTCCCCTATAGCTGATCTCACTGTTGGCAAAAAGGAATTTAATTATATGAAACGTTTACTTCAGGAAAAGAAAATGGGATTAGCAAAGATATTATCCAATAATAAACGATATGTTGACGATTTATCTATTATTAACTACCTTTACTTTCATAAATTGATTAAAGATATTTATCCTAATTCATTGGAGATGGAGCGAGCTGGTTCCAATAATAAAATCATTAACTACCTTGATTTAAATATTAATATTTCCACAGAAGGACTAGAAATATCAGTGTATAACAAAACTGATGATTTTAATTTTCATGTTGTATCCCTTACATTTCCTCACAGTAACATCCCAACCGAGGTTGGCTACAACGTTTTTTCAAGTCAAGTTCTTAGATATGGTAATGTTTGCACTAGATTGGATATCTTTACCTCCCATCTTCACAAAATATTCAAAATTCTAATTGATAGAGGATATAGCCGTGATAGACTGATTAAAGGCATTAAACGTTGTCTGAGGAAATATGATAACGTTTTCAGGAAGTTCGGTATTCTAGATGACCGTAACATTATTAAAGAACTCCCCTGATATCTTTTGATTTATTGAAACACGGGTACTAACTCTGCTAAACTGAACAAATTCTGAAACTTAGGTGAATAAGTGTACAACGTGCTAAACCGAAGTTCAGACTGACCAGTGAAAATGGGCGAGCGTACCAAGTGTCATTTTAATTAGAAGTTTTAGTCAGTGATTTATTATTGAAGCTTGTAATTACAATATCTAATGCTCCTATGAATACTTCAATTAATTGTTTGTCCCGTTATTCTTTTTCCTTCCTCTTTTCCTTGTCATCCCCTTTAGTTTTAAGATTCTTGCTATAAATGGCTACAGCTAACACTATTAATGCTAAGTACCAAACAACAAGTGGGAGGTGGATCGTTGGTACCATTAAATCGATTTAACACCGCAATTCCAGTCGCAAGCCTGGGACCACTACTAGCATAGTCACAACATCTACAAAGCTGCCATATAGCCTGACTGACAATTTTCTCGACTGACTGACAATGTTTCTTCTTTTTCCCCATTTAGAATACAAAGATTAGTACATTTTAGCTTATGATTAATATTATATTTTTACCTATAGTTTACCTAGATTGAATATTTATCGAATAATGATAATCTCAAATTTCAAGACAAATTAATGTCAATTAATGTCAATTAATGTCAATTAATGTCGATTAATGTCAATTAATGTCAATTAATGTCAATGTCAGTTTGGGGTTTTTATGGAATACTGACATTAATTGACGTTGCATCACCCCCATATTCACCCAAGATGCGGAGATGCCTCAGTTTAGCGAGTTGAGATACAACAGCAAACTCACAGGAGCATGGATCAGAATCATCAGTTACCAACCTGACACCGTTTCGGGGCTTTAATCGCAATACGGTTTCCTGTCAGGCGCCCCAGCAGTCCACCCTTGAACCACCATCTGATCCGAGAGTCACTTGAGGAGACCCGTTAGAGCTCGCAATTGGCGACGAGATAACGTTTATGGTACCTCTAGATGTTATAGTGAACTCTCAAGCTCCAACCTTCCTGAACTCCCACTCCCTCTTTCTCGATAACAAGTAAATCCATCTGGAACAGTGGGCTGCCTCTTTCCCGCTGTCCCGTACCAGCTTCTTCAGCTCTCTTCCCCTAAAACCAATCATCCTTGCAGCTCTCTCCAAACTCTGCGCAACCACTCCCCTAGCTCCAACTTCGACTGCGGCATTATAACAGCACCAACCTTTCGCCTGAATCTCAGCCTGCAGACCGCTGTATCGGTCGAGCTTGTACTCGTGCGATTCAGCGATCCGCTCTTCAGATGGTACTGTTAGCTCCCACCAAATAACTGTCTTTGCCGACCTTGAGAATATCACAAGGTCCGGCCTCAGCCGTGTTTCCACAATCTCATTGGGAAACTTAAGCTGCCCCTCAAGGTCTGACAGCACTATCCAATCCCGATACCCACTCAAGATCCCAAAACCACGACTCTCCTTCCGGTCGTCTGTACCTGCTTTTCTTTTCCCAGCAGGAACAAAATCAATGAACTGCCTTCCATCGCCGGCCTTGTTCTTATAAGAAATGGTTAAAGAATGGTCCCACATATGAAGAACATAACTTTGCAGATCACATACAAGTGCAGATCAGATGAAGTTGAGCAAAAATTAACAAGCTGCACGTGGGCTGCTATAAATAGCCTAGCAACTAATGGTCTGCACAGATTTGCTTGTAACACTCACCTTACGTTGTAATCTGCTTGATCCTTTGATCCAGAAAATCCACAGTTTGAAGCAATGAAAGAAATTGAAGACTCGACCCTCCTGATCATGGCGATCTTCATATTGATGCTAGGAAGTGCTCTTCTGGGCCTGTTCATATATTATGTGAGGGCCATGAGAGCGGACAGTCGTTTGGCTTGTAGCAGACTCAAATTTACGATCGACAAAGTCCGAGAGCTGGACATCGTAAATGAGCGAACGTTCAAAGAGTTCGAAATGCTGATCAATCGGAAACTAAAGACAGTTTTCGCACAAAGGAAAGCACACCGAACATCAGAACAAGGACTACAGACAGACACCGTTTTGGAAATAGGTAAACAGGATGTTGCTCTCCAGGCAGACATGAGCAGAGTTAACACCCTCTCACCGCTGCTGGTACGACCAGCCCTCTCATCTGATGTTGTTATCCCCATCACTGAGTGAAAGACACATCATGATCACTACCACGGACATGAAATATTGGAAACCCCTTCACGGAAACGGAAAGATTGGAAGATGGAAATCGGGACTACTACAGATGTGATTTTACAACCACACATCGGATTTTACAACCACACTCTGATTTTACAACAAAAAATCGGATTTTAGCACACCATTTTAATGGCTTTAGTCGGGCAAGCAACACGTCGTGCTTGTGCCACAGTGGGGGAAGCAAGGTAGAAAACTACCTGCTCTTCGTGCCAGCCTCATAGCTCTGCTAGATCCTGTCGAGTGACGGGGTCTAACAGAACTAGGGGTTCCACTGCCGCGGATCTGATCTGGCTGATGGTCCTGGAGTGCGGTCAACTCCATTTTTAGTTAATTTAAACTGATCATAAATTAAATTTAAATATTAGTCTTAAACTTTAAAGGGGTAAAACACGTCTAGATGTATTGTAATTTCTAGACAATATGCCCCCTTTCTTTAAAATAAACATAGGCCCGAATTACTTGATTACAAATTACCAGAATCAGAGTTGATAACCGTTTTCTTAGCTCTCTTTTTCGGCTGCACAATCTTTTGTTTCAAGTCTTCTTCATCATCGTCCTCCTCCTCATTTTTGCGTTTCATTTGAGCCTAAGCCGATGTATCCAGTTTAGTAGGGTTAAGCACTTTTAAATAATAACACCTCATCAAAAATATATCTTGTTGGTCGAATAATTTACAGATTCAAAGAGTTTAGACTAACATGACGTCTAAGGTCAAACATTTACTTCTTCAAGAATTAAAATGGAGCTGATACATTGAATGTAGAGAAAGAATTGACGACTAAAAGTTCAAAAGTAACAAACCCTCTTGCTGGAATCCGTGTTTCTCTTCTCAACAGGCTCCTTCTTTTCTTCTTCGGCAGAATTCTCCTTGTTGATATTCACACTCTCCACATTCTCCTTATTTTCGATATTGGTTACAAGGAGCAGCTCAAGTCTAGCAGACAAACTTTTATCTAGATACGTATCAGCCTCTTTGGATGCCTTTTCTTGCTCGGGGTCCTCTTCTAGGAACTTTTTATCTTTTTTGGAACCTTGGTAGTCTTTACAATACCTGAGTCGATGAAAATTCATCAAGTACAATATACATAATGAGCTACAGAAGCAGCGGCGAACAATCTATTTACCCTGCTGCCGTATTATTTTAAATTCCGCTACTTTAACTTCAATAGAGTAAACCAGTTAAATTGAACCCTTAAAACTACAACATCTACTTTTCAGAATGTCAGCAGTATAACTAAAGTCTAAAACTAACTAACTTGGCAGGAGCCCAAGCAGTATAACTAAAGTCTAATTTAACTAATTAACTTGGCAGGAGCCTAAGCAGTATAACTTAATAAAACTAACTAACTTGGCAGGAGCCCAAGTAGTATAACTAAATAAAACTAACTAACTTGGCAGGAGCCCAAGTAGTATAACTAAACAAAACTAACTAACTTGGCAGGAACCCAAGCCCGTGAAGGAGGTATGTCAAAGAACTGAACATGAGTCTTCTCAACGCCTGCTTTGTTAGTCCTGATGTATCTGTTGGAATCTGGATCATCACACACCACGGCCGGCCACCATGGGAAACCTTTCAGCTTAGCCCAAACCAACTTTCCTCTGATATCACTGAAATAATATTACATTATCAGCCTGGATACACTCACACATCAATTTTGAGTGGGTTACATTCAGATTTTAAAGCATTAATCAAACGACAAAATGCGGGGATTCCCGACAAAATGTAATAATCCGGGTGTGTTCTGACTCCTGAAATCTGAATGTCCAATTATTGAACTAACAAAACAAGTTCCTCAAAGCAGAAAACCGTGCTTCAGTTAAATTGTCATCCAATCGATTACGGAGTGGATAGTTGGATTTCCGCGAGTTATGTACTACTTTAAACTTAACCGGTTAAACACGATAAATGTAACTCAGTTACTTATCTATCCTATCACCAAAGGAACTTTTTTTAATTAAAGAATAATTGATCCAGAATCACTACCATACAAGATTTCATAATACGACATATTTATTGGACAGTTTGTTGAGTGGTCATTGTATAAAAAGACAAAATTTTTAATTACATTTTCTGAACCACAGATCTTTGAATTCTTAAACTAGAGCCGACAAATTTCTTAGTTTTTTTACAAGTTATTAGAGAGAGGAGCATTTGGTTTTGATTTTTTATTAAGCCCAAAATCTTATTTGATAAAAGTTAAAAAGTCAATGACATAATTAAATTCTGAATAATAAGCTACACGTCCGTGTCAAGTTGTTTTTTCTAGTAAATTAACAAATAATAAAATAAGGTCCAAGCTCCACGACATTATCCACATTGTTTCCCTTCTCTGGAAAAGGAGTGGCCTACACAATGGTGCTATTGGGATGTTAACGTAGCTACTCAAAGTCCTAGAATCCAGAAAACAGGTCATACTTTGGTTGCTACAACAGGATTATCACGTCATAAGTTTGAATCTTGACGTCATGGAAAAACGTTTGCTTTCTCAAAAAATTGTTTAAAAGAAAGCATGCAAGCTTGTTCTTCACCCGACATTAATCAAAGCGTTTATTGATAATTAAATTGTTGATAAAATCTTCATCATGACTGCATACGGTTACAAGCTGACTAAGCTTGAAGAGAAGAAGCTGCAGCAGTGGTCAGAGAAACGAATGGAGGAGGTGAAACAGGAGAGACTCAACAACCCAGCAAAACCGAGATATCCTAACACCTCCAGGGCTCTTCAGGACAACTCTCACAACAACTCCCTTTCCAGACAAGGTATATTTGTCAATGATGTAACCATTCAAAGAACTAGTAATAAATGTCTAGTCCTGAGCTGCCTTTAGATAAGAGAATTAATTAATTAAATGCAACATAATTGATAATGCTTCACTAAATGAACTGGTTTTTAATTGTATCTTTACTATTGCTCGATCTATTTGTATTTTGTATGGATCATTTTATCCAAACCTTTTTGATCCCTCACAAATCACATCATCAGCTGATAGAAGAACTGAGTTTAACTTTCAACGAAATCAAAGAGAGGAGCGTGAATCAAGGGATATGGAAGATAGGGAGAGAAAGAAGAGGATGGATCGACCGGTTGAGAATCCCAAGTTCTCCAGCAAGCAGTTCCAACATAAACAAACTATGACGAGTGCCCTTAGTAAATATCTGCCTCACTAATCAATAATCATTCAGACTTTTGTAATTTGTGAAATCTTTAATGAGTGGAGCAATTTATTGCACTACTTTTTATTTAGCACAATTTGTTTCCATATTGAAAATGTTCTTCTTTTGATAGTTCTGTTAAAAAACTTACTTAACAATCTTTGTTTTCATATTAATGCCTGTTTTAATAGATCTATACTTTTTACTAATCTGTCTTGTCACTGTATCATCAACGCCATTGTTTGAGGATCGATACAAAATCCAGAGGATAGCACCATTTAATTAGACAGTTTATTGAGTGTCCAAAATGACGATGTAACTAAATTGTAAATAATTAGCTACACGACAGTGCCAAGCTTTTTATTTTCAAATAAATGAACAAATAAGGACAATGTCTAAAAAGGCGTAATCAAAATGTGAACTAAGGTACTTAAAGTTCTAGAATCCAAATCACCAGTTGCTAGTTTGGTTTCCTTGACAAGATTGTCACGTCACAAGTTAGAATCTTGACGTTAAAGACCAAATTTTGCTTTCCCAAGCAAGTTTCAAAAAGAGCCGAGCGAGATTATAAGCTTATTCTTCACCCGACATCCATTACAAAAGTTTATTGATACTTTAATTTTTAATAGAACCTTAATCATGACTGCACACGGTTACAATCTGACTCAACTTGAAGAGAAGAAGCTGCCGCTGCTTGAAAAGAAAAAGCTGCTGCTGCCGCTGCTGCGAGATAACTCTCATAATAATCTCTTTTCCAGAGAAGGTAAACGATACGCAATTATTTGTCAAATAATGTTGCTGTTAACATTACCTTTCAAAAGTATTTTTCTTCCCTAGCCAAAATTTCCCACCAGCCTGCTCGAGTGAATCCCGAATTTGTATCAAAAATTCGATTTCTCAAACCTTTTTCAACCTTTTTGATCCCTCACAAATCACATCATCAGCTGGTAGAAAAACGGTGTTCGACTTTCACCGAAATCAAAGGGAGCAGCACCAAGCAAGGGATATGGCAAGGGATGTGGCAGGTAGAGAGAGGAAGAAGAGGGTAGATTCACCAGTTAAGAGTCGGAAGAGACTCGACAGTCAAACAAAACAGAGGCGTCAAAACAGCCCCAGAGCACAACAGTATCACTCTCGTGACGACGACAACTTTTCCAGGGAAGGTAAATTATACGCAATTATTTGTCTACAAAGTATTTAAAATATTTGTAACAAAATAATCATTCAGATCTAATTCTAACTACCTACCAGCTTAACATAGAAAAATATTAGGGACAGAACATACTATGGTGCACATTTAATATCTATAAAAGGTATACAAAATTATAAAGTTTTTAGATATGATTTAAAAGTCTCAATATTCGATAAAGATCCTATAAAGTATTGAAGTTCATTCCATATTTTATGACCAAATTAATAAATGCTGCTTCAGCTCTACTAGATCAAAGTTTCTTATGAACTCTTAATAAATAGAAGTCAATCTAATCTTGAACTTCTTCCAAGAATATCTCTTCAATTGAATAGTTCTTTCACGTCGTCTAGTGCTATAGTACTTAAAACAATTGAATACAAGATGTGTGATCTTAAACTTGACACTGCATCTCACAGGAAGGAAGTGAAGCTTTTTAAGATAAGGCATTATCGACTCTTCCTCTTTTTGCCGTGTATATCGAGTATAAACCTTATTTTGGATCTTCTGTAACTTGATTCTTTTCGGTGAGCCCAGAATACACTGTGTTACAAGTTGTACCTTTAGTAGTTAGAGTTTGGATCCGTTCATTAGAGCAACGGTTCCAAATTTGATCCTTGTGGCACACTATCACTAATATCTAAATAAAATTCATCCGATGTTCCTTTGTTGAGCTTAACTTCAGCAAATTCAGTGCTAAGTCAGCAATTCCATAACTGTTCTTCAACTTTAAGTTGTGATTTATCGTATCCAATGCAGGAGAAGGATGCAATTTTCTTTTCGGCCGATCATCATCAGAATATCGTTATTAATTCTTACAACTGCAATTTCACCGGATATGATCCAACTATCAGTATTGCAATTTTACTGCCATATCAGCTTATGAAAGGACGGATTTAAACTTTCATCGAAATTAAAGAGAGGAGCACGAATCAAGAGACATGGCAAGGGATATAGCCGATAGGGAGAGAAAGAAGATGATGGATCGACAGGTTGAGAATCTCAAGTTCTCCAGCAACCGTTTTCAGTCTAGCCTCATGCCGCAGTGTGCCGCCACCGTTTTATAGAGGTTCCTGCCGGCTGACGAAAATGAGGCAATTTGTTACTTTAAATTAATGTTGTTGATTTGATACTTCTTTGATAACCTTTGTTCTAATAGATCAATGCAATGCTTAGAAACAATAATATTTTACTTTGGCCACGTATCAAAATTTGAAGTGGTACAATATACTTTATCCCCATTAAGATAATACTCAGACCAAGCTTTGATCTACTAAATCCTGCTTTTCTAAGGAATTACTTATTGAGTTGTGAGAAGAACAAATTTTGGGTAAAATCAAAAAGATTATTAAGCCAGCATTTGGGACAATTGTAATGAACAGGTCTTGGGCAATTGACATGAACATTCCAAGAACATTCAGTCTGCCGTCTCGTGGTAAAATCTATAGCACACCCTTTAGGGTATGCAATATGCATTTATAATTATTGGGAACCTGTATTTTCACGTAGTGTCCCGTGGCGTCTAATATTTGTTACTCAGAGGATGATTTGGTACATCACAGTTCTAGACTCCCAAGGAGCTCCGTTTCTGTTCCTTTTTACTTTTCACATGCATCTGAGCATAGTCCCTTTGCTTCCAACCTTTCCTTTGTTTAAAATGTTTAACTTTTTCAAAAAAAGTTTTTTCACAACCAATTTTTCGAACACTCCATTCGAAACGCCGAAGCCTGATAACAGCAAAACATATACAGAAAAACGATGTAAGTCAACCTAGGAATTTACAAGGCTATCAGCTCTTAAGAATATCATGAAATAGAGTGAACATCATTACATCTTTTATATTGGCCCTGGGATGGGTAATTTATATAATGGGCATTGCATTGGTTTAGGGGTCGTTCACATATTACGTAATCAGCCGAGGGGGAGGGGGTTTCCAAATGCTTACAGTTGATTACGGGCCGGGGGGAGGGGTTTGGTCGTTGATTACGTAATCAAAATTTTCGGATATCAATCAGAAATTTCATTAATTTCCAGGAAAAATTCTCGAGGGCTAGGCCCTGAAAAATATTTTCGGCTAATAATGATCAGGGTGACATGAAATGTGGAGAAAAGTAGTTTCCAGGAAAAATTTTTAAATTTTTGACTGATTGTATATCGTAAAACCGAGACGGTGCCCGGGTGGTTCTAATGACCAATTCTAATCGTAACAAATATATAATAATAATAGTAATAATCCCTCACAAGGGCACTGCACTCTTAATAGGAAAATGCCACACTGTGTAGATCAGCAACTTTACGATGGAATTTAAACCTCATCTGACAAATATCGCGAAAACTTAAAGTTTTGTATGCTCCAACGGCCAGAATGAATGACTCAACAAACAAAAATTTGTATCACAACCGGAAGAGTCCCCATAGATATTTAAAATATTTTCGGCCCGAGTCATTCTGCATTCTCGATACGTACATTGAAAGGCAGTCTCCCCGCTTCCGAACTCGTATTGCATAGGGGAGATTGCATCACAAAGGGGGAACCTCGACTCCAAGATCGTATATCGAGGGTGAGGTGGTGACTTATGAAAATTTCGGAAACTTTTGAACTTCGGAAATATTTTTACTGGATTGTTTTCAGCTTGGAAAGGCAAAACGTTTAGTTTAAATTTAAGATATTTGAAAAACAATTGTCAGGAGGGGGGGGGGGGGTAGGGTCTTGATCACGGTTATTACGGAGGGGGAGGGGATTAAATAATACTATGTGAACGACCCCTTATTACACTTATCCGATATTTTATAGTTTTCTCCTTGTATAACGTGATTTTGGGTAATTTTAGACACACTTAACACTCATCAACAAAAAACTTGACTAATTGTAGTAGGCCAGCCAGCTCCAAGATTATTTGGTTTTCAGGGGTGGCATTAAGGGCCTTCCAAACTCAAACTTTCACATCAGTCAAGTCACCATTACCACTACTGTATCAGATGAAAAGAAGGACGAGGAACAATTGTTAAAGGAATGGAGTGATCGTGAAACGGAAAAGAAAGAAGAAAAAAAAAGATTAGAGGCTAAGTCAGAAAATACAGGACCTCCCAAACCTCCTGAAATTAATACACCTAGACTGGTCAAAGCGAAAACCACTAAAGGACAAATGTTGGCAGGCCTTAGCCGGTATCAGCCATCCAAACCAAGTTAATTTTGGTCAGTGATATACCACAGTCAGGGTTTCTCCCACTCCTTTTGATTATGTATTCAACTGTATGAGAGACAATTTCGATGTGGCAACATTTAACATTATCTATTCTTGTGGTTGTGATTGACCATTTTTGTATCAAGCCTTCAAATATTGATTTAATATAACACAAATCTTATGTGCAAATTTGAATGGTGATTCAAATCAAGAATCTGTTTAAAACGTTAGTTCTGGATATGATTCTACATTGCATTGATTTAATATAACACAAATCTTATGTGCAAATTTGAATGGTGATTCAAATCAAGAATCTGTTTAAAACGTTAGTTCTGGATATGATTCTACATTGCATTGATTCCAATGATTTCACAAAATAATATTGAAAATGGTAATACTTATTCGAATTACGGGAGGTAAGCCTGAATTTTTAGAAACTTGATTTCGATATAGCACTTAGCAGTGACCAACAATCTAAGGCCCATAACTTAATTGCAGAAGGTACGCTTACACTAAATATCCTCTGAGATTTACAGTTCAATATCTCATAAAATGTGGATTCTGAGGGCAACAACCACTATAATTTGCCAACATCACAGGTCGCAAGAAATAATAGAAATTAACCAGTATTATCAGGTTAGAAAATTTGCGAGTCACATTTGCGAGTCACATTTCGAACATGAATCATTAGCCATAACAAATTTATTTGAGCCTCTCAAAAATTTTGAGGAACACAAATGGGTGAAACATAGGTGTGGCCACTGTTTGTAGGTAGAATCCGCATGTTCAGCTAAAAATCAAATAGAGCATTTCATGTAAATTAGGCCAACATTTCATAGTATGATTAAATGAAATTGGTCTGATACTGAGTCCAAAAAATACTGATCAAATATTCAACTGAATTCAACTATAAATTTTGCAACACAAATGGATATCTAATAATTTAGATATATAAAACGGTGCCTGTTATGTAAGTTACAAGATGCTTTCTGTAAGAATCCCAATAAAGCCAACATCAATCATCGAATTAAAGACATAATGGGTAATTTGACCAAGAAACATTGTTGACAAAACGTTAGCTTGCAAAGACGACTTACTTGTCAGTATCATTATCTGATATCACAACTTCATCATCTGATATCACAATTTCTTCAGCAGGAGATGCAGTGTCCTCTGGGCAATCCTCCATGGTTGTATCTGCATCAAATATGTCATTGTCCAAACCAATCTTTCTTTTCTTTTTCTCCCTATCACCCACATTCCCCTTCAACTTTTGAATTTTTTCAATGGAGGTAGCAGATGGTTTTGCTGCTGCAGGTGATTGGGCATTATTTACCCCGCCTCCAAGAGGATTACTAGCAGTGGGAACAACTTTGAAAAACTTTTTCATCCTGCTTGATTTTTGTTGAGAACATTGTTTTTATTCTATTGCAGTCAATCAATTCATAAAAGTATAATAACAAAATGTTCACCTTACAAAATTGTTCATCAAAAAAATTTTTAATCCATCAATATTTCATAACAACAAAAAAGTGAACTTTGAAAGCCAACCTCTGCTAATATTTAGCTATCTTCAGTTCAGACGGGGTCAAATCAATACACTGGTTTTGAATACATGTTATGAACCCAACATGTACATGTTTACGGTTTTTGGAATAAAAATTATGCTCAATATTCACTGATGGAGTACAGAATCTTTAGCTTTCAGCTGTTCTTGAAGACCTTGTATTTTAAACTTGGTAAAATCTCCCCAGCTTAAAATATAAAATAATTGCCCAAAAATGTGACTCTTTGCATGAATCAATTATAGCTTGCAATTAAAGTTTACAACTGGTTGTAGAAAAATAATATGCAGTTAAGATAATAAGAAAGTGTACCATATCTGGCAAAGCATAAACACAGATAAATCCGCCAGAGACTCAGTGGAATAGCGGAAACACCAGCTGCTGCCTTTGCTACGATTGTAGGCAGTGCACAATCAGTGGCGTAACAATGCCAGTTGCCCCCCCCCCCCACCTGTTGGTGCCCCCTCCCCTATGGCGCTCCTCCCAAAAATTGAACAAATTACATTTTTTACAGGATACGCCAGTAAAATCTCTAAAAAAAGTATGTTTCTAGAGCAAAACATGCAGTTTTGCTACCACCGTAGTTAAGTTTTTCCAAATTGTCTCACATTCAAAACAACGATTTGACCCCCCCCCCCCCCCCCCCCCAAGATGGCGCGGGCCCTTGGTTACGCTACTGTGCACAATTTATAAGTTATTACTCTCGGGATCAAGGATGATTCTACTAATACTCATAGCTTAAGTGGAGCCATGGAATGGCCTGCTGTTATCTATAAAGGTACCTGGTACATCAATAAAAATTGAAGTCTTTTTACATTACCACTGTGCATCTAACGGAACGGAATATAGTACTATTTAGTGCTAAAAAGTATTTGGACAACATATTAATATTAATTGATTGATTGTATTGATTGGGTGATAAATAATATGTAATTGAATTGTAATTTCTAAAAAAGATTGTATTCTCAGATTTAAGTTGAACGTCGGTATTTTGCACAGATTTTGCATTGAAATAACGAGATTATCACTTATACAGGGCCCTGGGCCAGGGTGGGCCAAAAGTCGGTACCCATAATATGTTGGCCTTTATTATAGATCAGTCACTGAATGCCCAATTGAAATGATTAAATTCTTTCTGGTATGACTTAGTACCACCACTGGTTCGAAGAATTTGTCAACTAGAAAAATATTCTTATTCATTCATAATTTTTTCTAATGAAGGTTCATTTTAGCATTTATTTGATAGTTTGGATAGTCGCATCGAGTTAAATTTTATTGAATTGTGATTGGCCATTCGAATTATATTATATGAATACATTCCTTCTGTATCATCCTGAGTTTTAAACTAATTACAACACTACAAATCTATTACATTTATTGAGGACCCCCAGTGGGAACTAATGCCTCGGTAAATGTAACGACCATTACAGGTTGTATGTCAATGTAAATGGTTGTTGCATGATAAATTTATCTTAAAGACATCCTAAGGACTATCAGACATCGATTTTTAAAGCAGTTTACTCCCATCTATCACCTAAAGATTATCAGACATCACTTATCCTTATCCTCCGGAGTGCTACAAAGGTACTGTAATCATTAACTAAATTTCGAACAGTAGCATCTCTTTGTGATAAACTATGTCTAGAATACCAGTTGGCTCAAGAGATTACAATCTGAGATATCGAGGGTATGCTGTTAAATTCCCCAATAATGGCTCTCGTCCTACTGATAAATGTTCAAATTGTTTAACTCTATTAAGAGAGAATGATCGTCTTTGTCGGCAAATTTCTATTCTCTATAAACAATTATCAGAAAGTGACAGTGCACTCAAAGTTCCCCTCAGCGATGGTTCACTTGTCCCTGTGTTGCCCCAGGTACCTGATCACTGTGAACATTCTATCAATGTTCCCCTCAGTAATAGCTCATCTTCGCATCTTGTTTCTGAGTTAACCCAAGAGCTATCCAAATTAGCAGAAGACAGTGAACATTCAGCAGAAATTATCAATTCGGAAAATCCCAAACACTCTGTAAATGGTGTCAATGGTGTGACCAACTCTATCAATCCATACCAAGATTTGAGTCGAGGAGTTTTTCAGTTTGTTGACACTGCCAAGTTAGATATAGAAACCCACTATAATCATGAGTTTGAGAATAGGACAGTTGCATATTATGGGGACTTTCCCTACGCTTACAATGGAGGCTTTCATAACACAAGGCCAGTAGCAGACAATCCCTACCTAAAGTCTATTTTAGAACGCTTACGCTCACAGTTCCCAAAGTTGAAATTCAATAGTGCTATGATTACCAAGTATAGAAATGGTCAGCAAGGAATTCCCTTTCACTCGGATGACGAGAGGTCAATTTCACCAGGCTCCATGATCCCAGTGACATAAATTTAAAAAGGGACTAGGAATCCAGTCTGGAAAGAAAAAACGGCTACCATATATTTTTAAAACGACTACCATAAATTTTTCGGCCGCTCCGCGGCCGGATAACGATTTCATTTTACTTTTACATTAGTATAGTTATTAATTCATTAGTATAGTTATTCATAATTGCCAAAAGATTGTGAAAAAATTCCTTTCCGGGTCTCGAACTCGCGATCTGCTAATATAGTACCGACGGATTAACCGACTAGGATACGATTCCATGTACGCTTTAGTAATATTTACATATAAGTCTTCGCGCGTTCCTGCAACTACCATACTACCATACTACCAAACAGTCCATACTACCATACTGGTAGTAGGAAAATCTTGGATCCTGACAGAAATATCTTGGATTATTTGGTAACGCGCAAGTTAAGCGCAAGAACTAGGATCCTGACAGGAATCTGCCATTTGCGCTCGATTCGAACATCTTCTCAGATAAATATAGAATTAAAGTACAGTGCGCGGCGTTACAGTGTGTAACAACCGAGAGCGACTATTTTAAAGTTGATTTAATAATTTTGTTGACAAAAATTAGTCGGCGTGGCTATGGAAATTAATATGGCTAGGAATTAGATTCTTAGATTCCTCACTTTATGTCACTGGGTCCATGATATCCACCATCTCTTTAGAGTTCAGGGGCTACTAGAGTCCTAAGCTTCAGATCCAAACTTAGAGCTCATATTGCTGACCTTACCCTCTCCCATGGAGACATAATGAATATGACCAGACAATCCCAGACCAGCTTTGAACACAGCCTCATCCAGGACAAGTCTGAAACCATGAGAATAAGCATTACTCTGCGCCTAATTGATGGCAGCGCAACCTTATCTACTCTGTCTGATGTTTCCAGTAAACTTTCACACAACATGATAGATCTTAAAGAAACTGTGCCCTCAATCGTATGTAAACCATCCCTCAAGAACATCAGTCAAGTTAAGAACACTGAACCCTCGGCCCCTAAGACTAGATCAATAGAAAATTCTGGTAAATCTTTGTGTGTCATAGACATTAGCTCTAGTATGTTCTCCAAATTAGAGGAAGAAAAGCTATCGTCCAAACATCATGAGGCACATGTATTCAGCTACCCTGGCGCCACAGCCAATGCAATCAATGAACGGTTTCAATCAGATGTAAGAAAAGACACTCTTAATACCAATAATGTGAAAAGCATTGTACTTATGTGTGGTACAAATGACGTGGACTCTATCCTGAACAGCCCTCGCAACATGAGGACTAAACTTCTGTGCCCTGATAGTTTTTCTGGTGATGCTAGAGCTCTTGACTTTACAAACAATTGTATTGAAAAACTTGTACTTTTCCTTCACAAGTGGGCACCTGGAGCTGATATTAAAATTGTTAACTTATAACCTCGGGAGAGTTTCTCCAGAAACAAGGTTATAACAGATATCAATGAATGTATGTCAAATCTGCAAAGAAAATACACCTATGTAAAACTGCTCTCAACCGAGAGAAATCGTTTCTTGTTTAGTGATAAGAAAGGCTTTAGAAAATCGTCATTTTTTAGTAGTTATGGAGAGGATAATGTCCATCTCAATGATTATGGCATAGTTAAATTAGCAAGGCACTTGAAGTATCATGCACACCATTAGAATACTGCTGAATACTGACATAACACTTTTACCATCAGTTTTATTTTTACAGTACGACATCCAGACAAATACAACCTGCTTTTATTCTGTTTTTTAGTTTAAACACAACTTTACAACTTTTATTCATTCCATTGTGAATTAATAAGATTCACAAGATGACAAATTTTAATAATGCAGCTGATAGGTTTCACAACCTCTGCATTGGTCATTGTAACATTCAAGGAGGGCTTCTTAATTTAGCTAAAAGTAATGAACTTTCCCAACTTATTAGAGATCATAAATTAGACATACTTTCCCTAAATGAGATGAATCTTTGAAAATAGTGATGTACACACGTTTTACACTCTGTCCAAGTACATAATATCTACTGAACATTTGATGTAACCTGTATTCAGAGATGAATCTTAATGATACTATTGACACAGACACCATAAATATTCCTTCCTCCTTCAACCTTATGCGATGTGACAGGCCAAACAGTTCTAGGGGTGGTTGTGGCTTAATGATAAACAAAAAACTAGCTTACACAGAATTAGTTATGGATAGTAAGCTTGATAACATTGAAGCATTATGGGTGAAGCTTAAGAATAGCAAGATCAATGTTTGCTGCTTCTATCGCTCTGGAAATTATTGCAGTGTTGATAACTTTATTGAGTACATTCATTTTTGCATGAAAAAATTGAATGGGAAAAAGGTTATCTGGATTGGGGATATAAACATTGACCAGAATAATATCTCATCCACCCAATACAAAAAATTAGATATGACCTTGAGATGCTACAATCTAGTTCAAACCATTCAAGGGATAACTAGAGTTGCT